AGGTTTGGAGATCAGGGATTTGATGGAATAAATAATCCCAAGAACATGGAAATTTTATGGGAGGAGAATCAGCCCTTCAAAAGCTCCAAAAAACATCTCTGGGGTTTATTTTAAATTAACGGGATGGAACACAAAAATGGGGAATTTAAAGCCAAAACCACAAAATCTTCCCAATAGAAGAAGGAAAAACTCCAGTGGAAAAATTCCAGGGGTGGAATTGGGGAATTCATCAGGAATTCCTGCTGGGCACATTCCCAAAAAAGGTGAAGGAGCTGAGGTGGGAAATTCTGGAGCTCAGGGATTTGATGGAATAAATAATCCCAAAAATTGGATGATTTATGGAGAAGAGACTCAGCCCTTCAAAATATCTCCAGGGTTAATTTTGGTTATTTTTACGTGATGTGATAGAACACAAAAAGGAGAATTTAAAACCAAAAACCACAAAATCTTCCCAATAGAAGAAGGAAAAATTCCAGGGGTGGAATTGGGGAATTCCTCAGGAATTGCTGCTGGGCACATTCCCAAAAATGGTGAAGGAGCTGAGATGGGAAGGTTTGGATCTGGAAGTTTTTGATGGAATAAAAAATCCCAAAAATTGGACGATTTATGGAGAGGAGACTCAGCCCTTCAAAATATCTCCAGGGTTAATTTTGGTTATTTTGAAGTGATAGAACACAAAAAGGAGAATTTAAAGCCAAAAACCACAAAATCTTCCCAATAGAAGAAGGAAAAATTCCAGGGGTGGAATTGGGGCTGCATTCCCAAAAATGGTGAAGTTTTGAGATGGGAAATTCTGGAGCTCAGGGATTTGATGGAATAAAAAATCCCAAAAATTGGACAATTTATGGAGAGGAGACTCAGATCTTCAAAAGCTCCTAAAAATATCTCTTGGGATAATTTTGGTTATTTTTACATGATGTGATTGAACACAAAAAGGGGAATTTAAAGCCAAACCCACAAAATCTTCCCAAGAGAAGAAGGAAAAATTCCAGGGGTGGAATTGGGGAATTCCTCAGGAATTGCTGCTGGGCACATTCCCAAAAAAGGTGAAGGAGCTGAGATGGGAAGGTTTGGAGCTGGAAGTTTTTGATGGAATAAAAAATCCCCAAAATTGGAGGATTTATGGAGAAGAGACTCAGCCCTTCAAAATATCTCCAGGGTTAATTTTGATTATTTTTACATGATGTGATAGAACACAAAAATGGGGAATTTAAAACCAAAAACCACAAAATCTTCCCAAGAGAAGAAGGAAAAATTCCAGGGGTGGAATTGGGGCTGTATTCCCAAAAATGGTGAAATTTTGAGATGGGAAGGTTTGGAGCTAAAGGATTTGATGGAATAAATAATCCCAAACCCATGGAAATTTAAGGAGAGGAGACTCAGATCTTCAAAATCTCCCAAAAATCTCTATTTTGGTTATTTTTAAATGCCATGATAGAAGCCCAAAATGGGGAATTTAAAGCCAAAACCACAAAATCTTCCCAAGACAGGAAGGAAAAACGATTTTTGTTTTTAAAACTATTTTTCTCCCCCCAAAATGGGGATTTTTCCAAATCCCACCATCACATTTCTATATTTGTTTTCTCAGATTTTTATTTCTATTTGTCAACCCAGATGTCTCTTAGACCAAATTAAATAGGAAAAAAATCAAATTATTTCTTAATGTTTCAGCCTTAAAGCCAAATTTTTCAGCTGTT